CCGGGACCGGATGAAAAACCGGAAACCGGACCGTATAACCCGGACCGAGACCGGACCGGAACCGGATAGTAAACAATCCAATCCAATCTTTGGGCTTAGATTTGAGGTAAAAAACCGGATAAAGACCGGATAAGAGAGCTCAACACCCAAAACTTAAGGGTAATTTGCATAAACGGTCACAAACCTTTGCACTTAGTACAAAACTTAACCAACTCCTCACCCTTTTAGGCCTTAGGCCACTCAAATTCCCACAATCTCAATATAAAATCAAGACCGAATTGGGACCGGACCGGATCAAGACCGGACTGTATCCAATCCAATCTTTGGTCCTTATATTTTCAAAAAAACCGGACTGGACCGGATCAATTTGGGCCAATTTAACCGGACCGGACCGTATAGCCACCCCTAGAGGCTTGTGAGCGAGTTTGGGGTCGATTGGACGAAGATCGAACGCATGGCGAGGTTCTGAGGAAGCCGCACGGGCAGTCCTGGGTATCACACGGGCGTGCAAGTTGCAATTGTGGCCGTGTGACTTTCGCCGAGAGCAAACACGGGCATCCCAGGAAATTCACACGGTCGTGCAACCCTGGCCGTGTGAGATGGCTGAAGATCGACCTAAGTGATACGGCGCGTTTTGACTCACACGGCCAAATGGGTGAGCCACACGGCCGTGTGGCCTGCCCGTGTGAGTCGGGAAATCCTGGTTTTTCAGCCAATTTTGAGCCAAAAGTGGAGAAATCGGATTTTCAGAGCAAAAACAGAGCCCTGGAGAGAGAAAGTACGAAGAACACATCCTAGAAGCTATCTTGGAGCTGGGTTTCATCAAATCGAGCTTGGAGATCGTCATAGGAGTGGAAATCATCATCCTGGAGCAGATTTTCCTCATCATTATGAGTATGACTAATCCGATTATTGTTTTCTTCTCTCGCTCTATGGAGTAGAACCCTTCTCTCACTTGGGTATGAAGAACCCTAGTTCCTGGTGTTAGGGATTTGATTATAATGAATTGGGATGATTATACTGTTTGATTTTAATTGAATGATGCATGTTTATTGAATTGTTTGAAGTCTGATCAGCTTTTCTCGATTTCTGCTGCAACCTGAGATAGATAGAATCTGATTAGGTTGTTAGAGCCTCTTCATTCGATAGTAGGAGATTGGTTATACGAGAGTTAGCCAGTTTACTGCTTTGTACTGGAATTCAATTCTAGTAGTGGAGTTCTGTGCTTACTGCTTCAGCTTTCTATCCCGGTGAAGACTAGTCGTCTGCCGGGTAGTTAGACTGAGAGGGCTTGGTCAGCTTAAGAGATTCCAAGCTATTGTCGGATCTTCCGCAGTCTAATCAACAGTAAATCAACCCAGGGAAATTACAATTGAACCTAACTAAGGGGCTAGGGGGACTCATTCCCGAGTGACTCTTACCTGCTTGAGAAAACCGAATAATTTCCTGCTTTCTTGTGCTTTTAGTTTAAACACAAATCACTCGACTTAGTTGGCTAGATAATAGACAATCACGGAGTAAGCAGTAGATCTAGACCCCGGGTTGATAATAGAACTTGCCAGTTACTGCATTCCCGGACTGCGATTACACTTGGTCGCAGTTTGGTGTTGTGTTTTGGCGTGTCACCTTCCGACCTAGATCCTCAGCACTGATGCCTGGAACCCAGGGACGAAGATAGACCAGATTATCATCATGAAACCACAAAATATTTTCCAGAATCCAATCACATGTCTGCTGGGAGGGTAATTGAATTAGAAGCAGCTTATCACACAAGAGCGACACTCGAACCGGACCATCTCGGCCCCACAGCTTGTTTGCCCAACGTCGAAGAACCATCAAAGGGGGGAATTCCTGCAGAAATTGACCTACCAGACAGTGTTTCCAGCGAGCCGCACCTTCCTCCCGAACAGCCTTCGGCATACGCAACCCGCCATTCACGACCTCTGGCTTGATGTAACACAATCGATTAGCTTCAGATATTCCAAACAAGCTAGCCCACGGCTTAGTAGACTGAATCTCTGGAATTGCTGAATTCGACACCGCCATGGGGCACTGATCGCTCAAGAAAAGAGAAGAGAATGGGAAAAGAAGAAAGCACACCGATGCCGGCGCACCGACCCAAAGGTCGCTGAAACCCTCAGTCGCCGCCTGTTGTTTACTTTCAAAAGTTATGCGATATAAAAAAAAAGTCATGGCATTTGGAGTGCGGAGCACAAAGTTATGATCGTCCAAAGTTTGGCGAAATCGGGAAAAAAGCTCATTCAGGGTGGCAAAAGACATTTTTTGGGACGAAGGTGAGAACCCCAACCGCCTACTGCTGTTTGTGGTATGCAAGATCTCGAAAAGTTATGCGGTATAAAAAAAAATTCGCTACGATCGGATACAGAGCACAAAGATACGTTCGTTTGAAGTTTCCACCTAGGTTAGAGTTTATCGAAAAAAAACTAATTTGGACTAACCGCTCGGTGGGGGCAACGGTTTTGGACCAAACCGCCCCGACCCCATTCAGTCACCAAAACCGCCCTCACCCATGCGGTTTACAATGAAAACCGCGCCCTCGGGTGGCGATTTTTGGGAAATGGTGGTATTTTAGGAAAATTTCAGAAATGGGTGGTATTTTTAGAATTTTTTTTCTTTTTAGTGGAATTTCTGGAAAATAACCTCAAACTTTTAATTACTTTTTGTATCAAATTTTTTAAAAAATATTCAAAACAATATTTCAACCAGTTTTATCTATTAGAAAAATTAGAAAACCTTCTAAACATATTATTACTAGAATGACTAATCAAAATTTTATTATAAAATAGATAAATTAGTAAAAAAATTAAACAAATATTAATAAAAATAACAAATACTAGAATATAATAATAAATATTTAAAACTAATATTAGAGTATTTATTTAAAGCCGCTAATTCAATTAGAAGCACAATTAGAAATAGTTAAAATAGAACCTAATCGATCATCAATAGTCAATACACCAAAACCAAAATACACATGTTTTTTATAAAAAAAAAATACACACGTTTTATGAAAAATTCACAATCTACACATGTTTGGGCATCATTGCGGTTGTCAACAGCAGTGAATGCATTCACTGCGGCAGACGAAAGCAGTGAATGCATCACCGTGGTGAAGGCTTGACCCAAGGCTGAAACTTCAAACCAACGTGACTTTGCGCTCGGTTATCCAATCATAGCAAAACAAAATTATTACACGTAACTTTTAAAGATCTTTCAATCTGCAACTCGCCTTCATCCCAAAAAAATGTCGTTTGCTACCCCGAACGAGCAATTTTTCGATTTTTCCAAACTTTGGAGGGTCATAACTCTCCTCTGTCATAACATCTTTCTTATATAAGTGGTGATTTTCATGATCTCGTCCAGAATTACCCTGTATGACTCAAATAGTTACCTCTACAAGCCATGGCAATCAAGTAAACCCAAATCGTTGTAAACAAGCAGATAGGAGATAGCGGTGTAGATGTAATGTCTCTCTGTATTACTGGGCATCAAAGCAGATAGTCACCCAAAGATGTATACCTTGTTGAGAATTATATGAAATTATGTGGCGAGTAGATGACACACATGAGCGAATTATGTTTGCCAAGAATAAGTATGGCTTCGCGTATGGCACCTGGCTTGAAGAAGAACAAGTCGAACGAAGTACAAACAACCTAGGATATGGGATATGGTGTACACAGTACACTCAATCAAACTACTGTGCTTTACATAGTACCCTTTTCTCCTCGGGTGTTTTCTGCATAACACAGTTGCGATCAGGGGTAATCTTCTGAGCCATCAGCATTGGCTCTTGGTCACATGCCTCTACTATGTGCAATAAACAGCAGTAACTAGCAGGCAGAGGAGAAACCGAGAAAGGAAGAAGATTAAGAGGCTGAAACACCTAGAAATATCTCTGAATAAGTGTAACTATGGTTGGCAGCATGAGACCATACTAATGCAGAACTCATTATTTCCACAAGCATCAAGACAGTTTACCAGACTCCATACCAGTCTACTAGCTTGCTTCTCGGCAGAACTATTGTACAATTGAGAGATCAGAAAAGAAAGTGGTAACTACAGCTGCTTTGGTAACTACACGCTGGATAACTGGTTCTTACCTGAATACTAGGAGCCAGTGATACCAAGGAAGCCAGGCCAGAATAATGTAGTTATCGTATCTATAATATACTCTATCGTTCTTTACAAAAACAAAAACAAAAATAGTTGATCTGGGCGTCACATTTTCGGACAAGGGAGCTCGGGCAAGTTCTACAACTACGCCTGTGAATTCATATATCAGAATACGGAGTTTTCAGCAAGTCCTTCCGGACGAACATCAAAGCTCCTATCAGAAATTCATCCCAACAGCTTATTCGCCAGATAGCTTGCGGAATGAATGAACGGTGAATAAGAAAATTCATACAGGGCTAACGAAATGAACCTGTCTAATTGCAAGATAGCAAAGCTGCATTTACAGTAGGGGAATTGCACATAGCAACTAACATTAGCACCACAATCATCTATGAAGACTATGGTCAGCCACTAGTGCAGTTCATCTACTCTAGGTTACACAAGTAAGAAATCTGCCATAACAAAACACAACCAGATTTGTAAGATACACCAACGAACATAAGATGGCCGAAGAACATCATGGAAGATCTCCGGATGCAGATGGGTAAACTATGCAATTAGGAGTCTAAACTTAAGTGCAGGTAAGGAAGAACGCAAGTTCAGCAAATCCCAAATTGTTATAAAATTGCAATTCAAAGCAAGCATGAACTACAATCAATTACTGCTTACAGGAAATCGCTGAAACCCTAATTACATTGTAGAGAACTGGAGTGGAAAAAACACAGGCACAAACACAAGGGAACCCTATGCTAGACAAAGCATCGCCGCCGCCTCCACTACCAAAATACACCTTCGTTCTTTTCTTTTCTTGACAGCAAGACTTGTCCGACCGGCCGTCCATTCTCCTCCATCGGCAATATATCCTTCTAACCTCCAAACCCATAGAGAGTCCTTCCTTGCCTCTTCAGAGCATACACCACGTCCATCGCGGTCACTGTCTTACGCCGGGCGTGCTCCGTGTAGGTGACGGCGTCGCGGATGACGTTCTCCAAGAAGATCTTAAGAACGCCGCGAGTCTCCTCGTAGATCAGCCCACTGATACGCTTCACCCCGCCCCTGCGAGCAAGACGGCGAATGGCCGGCTTGGTGATACCCTGGATGTTATCGCGGAGCACCTTGCGATGACGCTTGGCTCCTCCCTTTCCGAGCCCCTTGCCTCCCTTGCCGCGCCCGGACATTTTTGCTTCGGAGATGGAGCGAGAGCGGAAATACTAGATCTGAGGGGAAATGAGAACGATTTGAGTTTAGTACTAGTAGAGCGTGATGATGGAAGATGTGAGAGTGAGCTGAGGAAATCTGTGGGTCAAGGTATTTATCGAGATGGAAATGGGTTTGTGGAAAGAGCATCGATCCGGGTTGCTGGTTGCGAGATGCTGTTTCCGTCGTTGATGGTGCCTGATCGACGATTCATATAGGAGTTTGTTTAGACATGGATCGCTGACGTGGTAAAGTGCACGGTGGAATTGAGATGTACTTCTTCCAATTTTCTTTTTTCTTTTTGGAATTGAATTTATTTGGGTAATAAAGAAGAATTCTCTTCTCTCTCTTCTCTGACCTAGCTGGTGATGGCGATCGTTAGCAGCATGGCCGCGCTGGAGCCTGCGAATTGGGCTCAGCATTTTGGAGTTGGAGATGGGAGATATGTGGCACCTGCGCTAGTCGATGGGGAGCTGATAATCCCTTGATCGGTTCGGGACGAGGGAGCAGTTCGGTGGCGGAATGCGTTGGTCGGTCAATTTCTCTCTGAGGCTCCTCCGATTGCAACGATCTGTCGCTGGGCTCAACGTTACTGGGGAAGAGATGGTCGAGTGTTTGTGTCGGTATTTGGTGTGAATATGTTTCTGTTTCAATTCGAGTGTGTGGAGAAGAGTACCTGGGTGTTTGAAAACGGGCCATGGCACTGCGAGAATGTGCCGCTTTTCCTGCGAAAGTGGGTTCCAGGAATTCAGTCGCTTCAGTTGGGTTGCTCTAGGTTGCCGATTTGGGTGCGGATCAGGGAGCTGCCATTGGAGTACATGACGGAAGAAGGATTGAGCAGGGTGGCTAATATGCTTGGTGCGCCGCTTTGGATGGATCAGTCGACGAAGTTGGGGACTCATATGGGGACTGCTAAACTTTGTATTGAGATGGCTGCTGACTCCTCCTTCCCGTCTGAGATTAAGATTCGTCCTGAGGGGGAAGTGGCATTACATTGTTTGTTCACTATCTACATGCTCCTCATCGCTGTGAGAAATGTGCTGAGTTTGGGCAAAAAAGTGGAGAGGGGGTTAAATGTCGGGAAGTTGTATCTGCGAGTAAGGCTAATGATCTGGTTTCTGGAGGGGTGGCGAGTCATGCTGCTTCTGCACGTTTGTTGATTGGTGCATCTGGTTCTCAGAATGCAGTTGAGGGATCTGGTTCTCTGATAACAGCTGAGGGGTCAGGTTCTGTGGCAATAGGAGGGAAGTGTGTTACTAAGGATGCTTCATGACTCGACTCTACTGTCACCCTAGGAATTGGCCAAGTGAAACCACTTCCTAAAGCGTAGTATAGCGGGTTAGGTTTATATGTCAACCCGGGTCCTAGATTTGCTGACTACTCAGTGAGTTCTTGTTATCTAGCAATAAAACTGGAGTGCAAGTCTAAACTACCAAACAAACAAAGCAAGTAAACTGGTTGTATTCAGGTTAAAGAGGTCACCCGGATATGGTTCCCCCTAGACTGTAGTTAAGCCGGATTGTAATTACCAAGTTCAGTTTCTATGAAGATTATACTGCGGAAGGTTCTTAAACAGCCTGAAGTCTCGACTAAAGGTCTTCAGACCCTCTCAATCTGACTCTCTAGCGGGCGACTAACCTCCACCGGAGTCGACAGATTGAGGCCCTAAGAACAAAACCTCCACTACCGGAGTAAATCCGGTACAGAATAGTGAGTTGGCTCCTCGACTAAAGTCACCAACTCCCTACCTTCAATCAAGGATACTCTATTAACCTAGGCAGATATTCTCATTCTAGGTTAAAGCAGAAACAACAGGAATTTGATCAGGATTCAAGTCATTCAATCATAAAACCTCAATCGAATATAATCAATCACAGAATCAGTACTTGGGTTCATACAATCAATCTCAACATACAGAACTAGGGTTTCCCACACCCAGATGAATGGGAGAACTACTCCATGGAGAAAGAAGCAAAAGCAGAATCAGACGCGGAAATCATACTGTGAAGATGGATTTCTGCTCCTGGACGTTGAATCGGCACTTCTCCAAGCTCAAACCAAGCTCCAATGGTGTTGAAGATCGATCTAGGGCGCTTGGAGACTCTTGTTCGTCGCTTTCTCTCTCTAGGAATCGCTCTATCTCTCTCAAAACTCGAATCCCCCCTCTTTTGGCTGAAAATCTGCCTAAAAGGGCATCAGTGGCCAAAGCACGGTCGAGGGCACGGCCGTGCTTTGCCTCAGCCCGCCCGTGCTTTGGCTAGGGTTAATTACACGGCCATCTTGTTGGTGAAAACACGGTCGTGTTTTGAAGAGAACACGGTCGTGCTTTGGGAAAACACGCCCGTGCTTTGTCTCGGTCCTGCCCGTGTAATCAGCTCATGTCTGCCAAACTCGAATTTGCTCTCGGCAGTAAAAGCACGGTCACAGAACACGGCCGTGTTTTGAAGGCCTTCTGCCCGTGTTTTTACTGCCGAACCTGTTCCCCTATATTCAATGCTTCGTTTCTCCCTCGTCCGGACTCCGAATCAGTCGCCGTTTGATCCCAGACGCTCGTAGTCTCGTCCTCTTTCTTTTCATGTCAAACTTGCACGATTCTTTGTCCATTAAGTGAGGTAGAAATCCATTCTTCTTCAGGTCATGCCAGAGTTTCTTCTCCCGAATCGCCAATTGATCTCTGATTGACTTGAAACTTGCGCCAATGCTTCACTTTATGTGCTAGGACCTGAAATATGACAAAGGAACACAACCTAGCGTAAAATAGGCCAAAGAAGCAATAATGCAAGCTTAAACGACCAAGAAACAAAGGGGGAAAACATGTGCAAATATCGAGTCATCACTTCACTGGGTGGGACACTAGTAGTGGGAGAGGCGTCTTATGTATCTGCGAGTACAACCCCTATTGTTGTAGGAAGGGTAATGGAGATTAAGAATTCAGGGGCTGCTTCAGCTTTAGTGGATGAGGAGGGGTTTCAATTGGTGGGCAAAAAAGGGAAGGCTGTGCAAATGAATCGTCCTGTGCAGAGTGGTGGGCTGCGTATTCCTGATTCTGCAGTTCGTGCTAGGGTGCCTCTAAATGAGATGAGTTATGGCTTGGTTGTCCCTATATCTCCCAAGAAAAAGGGAGGTAGGAAGAAGAAGACATGAAGTTGCTTGTGTGGAATCTTAGAGGATTCAACTCCTCTGAGAAGCATAGGTATGTGAATAAGAAAGTAGCACAGTTAGGAGTAGATTTTTTTGCTATACTTGAAACCCGAGTTTTGAAGAGTAATGCTGGTGAGATAGTGAGCAGACAGTTTAGTAGTTGGAAGCATCTTAATAATTATAAGTATTCTTATAATGGTAGAGTTTGGCTATTTTGGAAACCTGCTTTGTCAGTGGTTGAAGTTGGTATGGGTCACCATTTCATTCAAGTGAGAGTGCAGTCTGGGGAGGAGTCATGTGTGATTCCTGTGGTCTATGGCCCAAACAAAACAGCTGAGAGAGTTGAGTTATATGAGGTATTAAGTAGATATGTAGTAACACAGGAGCCTGGTATCTTCATTGGTGATTTCAATGCAATCATTGGGGCCTCAGAAGCTTCAAATAGTCCTGTTCAGAATCAGAGCATGGATGATTTTGTTAAGTGGATTACAGACATGAGGTTGATTGATCATAGCACTACTGGAAATTGGTACACATGGTGGAACAAGCAATCAGTTAACCCTATTGCTAGAAGAATAGATGGAGCTCTGGTTAATGAAGAGTGGTTGGAAGTTTTCAAAGATAGCCTTGTTAAGACGCTGCCCCCTGGTGTTTTGGACCATTGTGGTTTGTTTGTTCACACGGATCCCATGACTTCCTCTTTGCCAAAGCCATTCAAGTTCTTCACATTCTGGCGACAGCATCCTCAGTATCAGAGTTTACTGGAGTAAGCGTGGCAAGTGGAGGTTAGGGGTGTTCCATACTTTCAGTTGTATCAGAAGTTGAAGGCATTGAAGTTGAAACTCAAGGGTTTAAATCGTTCTCAATATTCTGAGATTTCTGTTCGTGTCAAAGAAGCTGAAACTAAGCTGGAGGCTATGCAGCAGGCTGTGCTTGCTGATCCATCCACTCCCCTTTCTAATGCAGTAATGGATCAGGAAGAGGTTTGTAGAGGATTGCAGAAGGCTGAGGAGCAATTTTACAGGCAGAAGTCGAGAATTAGAAGAATTATTGAGGGAGATTCTAATACTAAATATTTCCACAGTATGGTTAAAGTCAGGAATCATAGGCAGACTATTCAAAAGCTGGTTACGGAGGAGGGGATTGTGATTACTGAGGTGAAGGCCATGGGGCAGTTAGCTGTTGATTTTTACAAGGGTTTGTTAGGTAAGGCTGATTCTCTGGTTCAGGATACTCCATTATCCTACTTTGAGGATCTACTTTGCCACAAGCTTGGAGAGGCTGATGCTCAGATACTATCATCTCCTGTTACCAGGGAAGAAATTAAAGCAGTCTTTATGGCCATTTGGAATGACAAGGCACCAGGGCCAGATGGTTACACAGCTGAGTTCTTCAAAATGGATTGGCATGTAGTTGGTGAATCTGTTGAGGATACTGTCCTGAGTTTCTTTCAGACTGGCATTATGCCTCGGCAGGTAAACTCTACTATTTTAGCACTGATTCCTAAACTTGAAGTGGTGGATAAAATGCAGAACTTTAGGCCAATTTCATGTTGTAATGTTGTCTATAAGGGGATCTCAAAGCTGTTAGCTGATAGGCTCTCCTCAGTGTTGCCTAAGCTCATTGGGGTTAGTCAATCTGCCTTTGTTAGAGGTAGACTAATCAGTGACAACATACTTATGGCTACAGAGCTGGTTAAAGATTATCATAGGGCCTCTATCACATCTAGATGTGTATTGAAGATTGACCTGATGAAGGCGTTTAATTCTGTGGATTAGAATTTTTTATTAAAGGTTATGGAGGCTATGAACATTCCTGTGAGTTTCATTAAGTTGATCAA